GGGCTGGATTTGAACCCACCAGCCGGTGTATGTGGCTGGCACCCCAGTCACTGAGCTATGGTCACCGAGCCCCTTTTTTTCTTTTCTATTTGGGATAGGATCTCACTTTTTTGCCCAGGGCTAGAGTGCAGTTGGCATCATCATAGATCATAGCAACCGTATATTCCAGGCTCAAGTGATCCTCCTGCTTCACCTCACTGTAGGTGCACTAACACACCTGGCTAATTTTTAAATTTTTTTTTGTAGAGACAAGGTCTTACCCAGGCTGGTCTGGAATACTTGGCCTCAAGCCATCCTCCCACTTTTGCCTCCCAAAGTGTTAGGATTATAGGCATAAGCCACTGTGCCTGGCCCAAACATTCAATTTCTATTCCATTTCTGAAATAAAGCAAACGTATATCCCCCTACATTAGCAACAAAATCCCCATACCCAATTTAAGAGTAATAAAGAAACGTAAGGCAAAAGTGAAGCCTCTAAAACTCTGACACTGGTGTCCCAAATAAGCACAGAGAGGAAAAGTTCTGGGCTTAAAAAAATGGCTCATATTTGATAGATCCTTTTGTAAGTCTCTTCCCCTCTGTTTTTGTTTTTAAAGGTATTTAACAATTCCCAAGGAGCTGCTTTCTCTGCTCTGACCTAGATTTCCATTGAAAGCTTCCCAGTGGCTCAAATAAGCTAGTTCTTCCTCATGTAACTTTCAGATTCTTCCTTGTACAAATATGGACATTTTCTAGTGGATGCGCGTAAGTGAGCTATGGGAAAGGAGAAAATCAGAACCAAGTAATTTAGAGGCAAAAGACATACAGAAGAATGATTTTAACCATAAATACTACATTCAGAAACCAAAAAAACCTACTGCGTTTCTCCATCTATTTAAGCCAGAGAATCTTTTTTAGACCTCTTTTCCATGAGTTTGCAATTATCTCTCTGACTCACCAAAGAAAGAACTTGAATGATTTCCAAGCAAGCACTATTAATATGTTTCAAAGTAATTAACATTGTGGGTTCTGGCATTAGAAAGACCTAGTTGTAAAGTCTGGTTCTGACATAAGGTGGGAGACATTGGGAAAACTGTGTGACTCCTTTGACCTTTAGTTTTCTTAACACTTACCCCTCACGGGGCGCTAGTGCGGAGTAAACGAGAACACGTAGGCAAAGCATTTAGTGTATGCCTGGCAAGGCGGAAGTACTTGATGCCTGTCGGCTATTAGTATTAAAAAAAAAAAAAAATCCCCAAATAGATATTAACCCATTTCCTAGCTTATCAGAATAGCCTCTTTTATCTTTCTTTCTCTCTTCAAGTTTTCTAGTATAGTTAGAACAGAAGGCAGCTTTTATGCTTTCATAGAAATAGAAGAAGATAACAGAAGCATTTTAAGTGAAAAATGAGTAGCCTTCTGGGAGGTTGAGGTGGGTGGATTGCTTGAGCTCAGGAGTTCAAGACCAGCTTGAGCCAGAGTGCGACCCCATCTTTAAAATAGTCAGGTATTGTGGCTGGTCCCTATAGTCCCAGCTACTTGGGAGGCTGAGGCAAGAGGATCACTTGAGCCCAGGAGTTTGAGTTTGCTGTGAGCTATGACACCATGATACTTGACCCAGGGCCACAGAGTGAGATTCTCTCTCAAAAAAGGGGAAAAAAGGCAGATAAACAACTCTATCCCCTCCCTTGCCAAGCGGAAATAAATACTACTGTTGATGCAAATATTTCTGACTGCACATTTCTGCGGTAGCCCAGTAGTTAATGATAGCTCTCAAATTTCTGTATAGAAGAAAGGTAGTGCAGCCAACTTGGTAGCAAAGAGGGTACAGAAAGTGATCCTTGGCTGCCATCGCAGAGCAGGCACATGCCTAGAAGGTGTGTGCCTGAGAAGGTTCTGGGCAGGTGCTGGCACGTTATGGAGAGGCTGGCCCAGCCACCCTGGAGACTCTTCACTATCTCCCTGCCTCACCCTGTCAGCAAGGATTTGATTTGTTTTGTTCTGTTTTGTTTTTCTTTTTTTTTTTTTTTTTTTTTT